GGGTGAAAATATTATTAACCAAAAATTGTTTATTGTTATAACGTTGCTCCAATATATTCCAACACTGTTCATAATTATCATTAGTTATAGCTATGTGTCGCAACAACTGCTCTGCTTCTCCCGTTAAATGTCCCTTAAGATAATGTAATTTCTGGACGTTATCAATATCGCTATTATTATGAATCAAAGATACAAACAAATCTCTAAACGTTAACCATTCTGTGTATCTACCCGAGAATGTAGGAATTGCTATTTTTGGTAATCTTACAGGTGTTTTCGTGACTTTTATCTCTGTGCAAGACTTGCTTGTCGCTACTGAACTACCTTTAATTCCATCTAAAAGGTCACTAAGTTCCGATTTAAAGTCTAAATAGAATTCCTCAACTTCGTTGTGTATGTCTTTTAGAAAATAAACTAGATCCTACCGTGTCTTTACTTTTTAAAATCTCATAATGATTTTGAGAAAATTCTTTCCACTTATTGTTAATAATCTCAATCCTGGTTTCAATATAAGATCTAGAAATCCTCTCTTTAGGACTCTTTTTGAAATTAACTTTTGCCTTTTGTAGCTGCAATCTAATATCTTCTTGAATTTTTATAAGTTCCATTATGATGATAAATTATACAAGTTAATTTCGATGAAATTTTTCTAAGTGTTTTTAGCTTGATAATTTCTATGTAAAATTGGGCATAGGTTCCCCGTATGATTCACTTTTTGCAAACTATTCTAAGTTCTAACTAACACTTTATTTTTTCCAAAGTTAATTTAGTTTAAATTTTCTAAGTTCACTTTATGTTAAATTTTCTAAGTCCCAAAGTTACTTGTATTTATTCCTAAGTTTTTATAATATAAAAGTACTTACAGTTTAATGTCCATAAATATCACTGCACTATGTCACTTGCCCAGTAATCCGGCCAAAGTTGCTACTGTAGATGGTCGCCCTGTAGAGATGCCCATCCGTGTGGACGCCGCCGTTGTCGATGTCCTGGGAACAGCCGTAGTCACCAGGTGCTTCGAGATCCTCAACGACAATCCGCCGCCCTTGATCACGATTGGACTTAGATCAACTCCTTGCCTGATATAATCCAGTTCGAAGGACCATGTCCCAAAAATGCCTTAGGGATATCCAATGGTAGTATCTGGAGCCACTTGAAAGTAAAACACTAGATATTCCTTAGCCTCACATTTAATCAAAAAAATATTTTACCTTTATGGTTTTACAAAGAACCAAACGATAGCGCGATTCAGATGGACCGTAGCGCCATCTGTTACGCCTCGATGCAAACTCTTAACAATATTTATATATAGTCTGCTTTGATGCTATTCTGGGTATACGAGTAAGTGTAATAAGCAAGTGTTGTTTATCTATATATATACAGATTAAAATAAAAACAATTCAATAACTTTTTCGAAAATCTCTAAGTTTAAACCATAATAAGAAATAATTATTATATTATCTGTAAATCGTTATTTATTTATATGATAAAAAAAATAAAAAGATGATATTAAAATTTAAAAGTAAATAAAAAGAGAGAGTTACGTTAGCAATTTTTCTGTAGTCGCCGCTACACGGCGTTAGGCTCAGCGAATGTGCGCTAAATATTTAATACCGACCTGACCTGTATTTTAGACGATCGAAAATGAGGTCGTGCGAATTATAGAACAGGTTAATAGACGTTTGAAATAATAAGAAAGGAAAATTTTACTTTAAGTAATTTTATTGTTTGTATGTGTATATATACATATAATAAGTTCGTTATTAAGGTAAGGTTCTCTTTATGATAAATAGTTATATATTTAACTTATTGAATCTTTACTAGGCATGTTTGTTAGGTCTTCATAAATGCGAAAGTTATTGTGTGTAATTTTGTTAATTCTTCACGCCATATTGGCTCGTCGGATTTGTGTGCAATTTAAAACACAGATAGACTATAGTCTTGAATAACATATAAGCTACTGTTAATAATTATTACTATATATTATATACTAGCATTGACCGCGGCTCCGCCCGCGTTCAGATGACCAAAAACCAAATTCTTAGGTTTTACATAATTACTATACTCTTACAATGCAGCTTTTGTATTTTTTCTCAGAAATGAGATGTTTTTCCGCGGTAAAAAGTATCCTATATGTTGACCCAGATAACCAGCTATCATCATACCAAATTTCATCAAAATCTGTCCAGTGGTTTTCTCGGGATGCGGCAACAGATAGACAGACAGACAAAAATTCTAAAAACTATAGATTCGGCTTCTTTATCGATAATAATGTCTATTTCAATAAGATTTCCAAAAAAATATTTAATGTACAGATTCGACTTAGTTACAATGTTATTATATGTATAGATTACCCTTAGTAATTAATAGCTGATATTTGTTTAGTTTTCATATTATCGCCTATGCATAAAAAAAGGTAATATATAAATGCGAAATTAGGTCGACCCTCATTACCATCTACTTAGCAGATGAAAGGCATTTACTAAAAATAAAAATGAACGTATCAAAGATGGCCTGTCTAATGAAATATCAAATTGTCGAAATAATTAAATGTAGGTAAGTTTTTTAAGCCAGTTAAGCTGGCAACATTAATTTATTAATAACTAGCTTACCTAGGTTGATTCTCAATACAAACTTTCATCCTCATTTTCACCCCCTTAAGAGATGATTTCCGGGATAAAAAGTTCTTCTCGATCTATTCTTTTTACCAAATTTCATCTAAATCGGTTCAGTAGATCCAGAGTTACCCCCTACAACGTCACAAACTCACAATTCACAAACTTTACCTCTATAATATTAGTATAGATAAAATATTATATAACTCTACATTCAAAGTTGTCTTATTATAATAATTACAGTAATAAATGATGATATAATCACTTACGTATAAAGAAGTATAGTTAACTAAAGAAGTAAAGTTTGAGAGTTGGTATTTAGGGGACAATCTCTGAAACTACTGATCCGATTTTGAAAACACTTTCACTAAAAGGAAGCTATATTACAGCCTAGTGGAATATGCTATTTTTTATTTAAACCATTATAACTTTAATTGAAGTTAGAAAAAATAGCCGTTGAGTTACTTTATCGGTTATTGTTAGGCACCAAGGGACGCACCCGAGCAAAGCGAGGGTAAATCGCTAGTATTATACATTTATAAATGAATCTAAACAATAATAAACTGTATTGATAACAATTCCAATCGCATAGGATTTTAGTTGCCATGCTCAAAAATTCAGTATTTTCTGTATTCACATACCGCTATCGAATGGTAGATTTTCCATTCGGTCGATTTTTTAAATTCAAAATCAACAACATCGGAGTCTGTAAAATGTTGCCGTGCTGAAATGTAATTTTTAGTCATACAATTTTATCTATCTATACATACATACATACATATATATATATATATATATATATATATATATATATATATATATATATATATATATATATATATATATATATATATAATAAAAAATTGTAACTAAGCTGAATTTGTATGATTATTATCGATATAGGGACCGAATTTATAATTTTAGAATTTTTGTCTGTCTGTCTTTCTGTGACAACATCTCGAAAAAACTACTGGGCAGATTCCGCTAATATTTTAAGCCGCCCACAATATTTTAAGATCTGAATAATATCTAATAGGTAAATATGTATTTTACGTATCGAAATATATTAGATTTGCTTTGCATCGGCTGGCATCGACTTCGAAAATATTAAATATCTGATTAAGTGTCTGTTCTAAATGAAAACCCCCGTTTAGTTATTTTTTACATTTTAGTGCCTGGCAGTCGGTTTTTTTTAAGTTTTTAACACAGACAATTGTACAATAAAGTATTTTTGAATCGTATATCTTGATCTTATTTTATATTTTTAGCGACATCAATATCCCAACGGTGTTGAGTGTTGTATAGGATTCCGAAGCGTATGAAAATCGCGAATACTAGTTTTATACGAGTGTTATAAAAACGTGAGATTTCAATGCAGGTGGCGCTGAAAGGAAATCTACATTTCTCGCGTGCCATTGTTGGTGTCCTTTTGAAATTATTTAATGTATTTTATATTACTTTCAAGTGTATATAAAATGTTTTAGTGGCTATCAAATATCATAGCGGAGAAAATTAAAGTTATACATAAATAAATGAAAGTTAGAGTATGTTTTAATTTTTTTTAGTATTATCTCTTAATTATTAAACATCATCTCACAATAATACAACGTTAATTACTAAATACTCTAGCATTAGTACACACGTACACTTAACCCATAAATTCTAGGCACATAATTGCGTCATGTTTGGCTGGCATCATAGAATGCTTACATAGTGTATAATACACCAACCAGCTTTTACGAGTATGTACTAATTTTTTTAACACAGATTTGGGTGGGGATCACTTTGGTCACCTAAAAGTTATAGAAAAAAGGGTTTATTCACCCTTGAGAAACTCACAACAACGCTTGTACAATATATATATATATATATATATATATATATATATATATATATATATATATAAATGTGTAAATTGTTGATTTGTCCTGTCACGCAACAGCGGAAAGATGGTACCGGTTTTTTTTTACTTAGCCCTACTACATAGGCTACTTTTTATCTATAGTTTGTTATACAAGTTGTATTCGGGCTTTGTTGTGATCATTAAATAAAACGACGTCTTCTGGCAATTATTTGAACTAATTTTTCTTTGTTGCTCATGAGGTTATTATAGTGATAAGTATTCAGCCGTTTATAACGTCCTGGGTACGGGTATTCCTTTAATACGAGTCCGAGTACGAGGCCGTAGTTAACCACGCTGGCCAAATGCGAGTTTCCGGACTTCACATGTCTTTCGAAAACTAGCTATGTTCTCTAAGACATGCAGGTTTCCTCACGATATTTTACCGCATCGTAAGACGTGTGGTAATCATTATAGTGATACGCATTTGTTTAAAAGTGTTTTTTTTTGTTTATGAGTCTACTAATAGAATTATTTATTTTGTCTAGTATGTATGGAGCGTCTGGAGCGGCACCGAGAGAGGCGCGGGGGCAAACGCGCGAGCGGCCCGACGTACTGCCTGCGCCGGCGCCGCTCGAGCCGTCCACGCCGACACTCACCCGCCCTGGGAAAGACAGCGTGGCCCGGCTCACCCTTACTGGACTATCCTATGTTGTTACTGTAAGTACCTATTATACATGTCATAAAACAAAGTCGCTGTCTACGTCTGTCTGTTTCTTCGCTTACTTCGTCTAAACAACGTAATAGATTTTGATACGGTTTTACTAATAGATAGAGATGATAAACAAGCAAAATAAATTTTGAAAAATTACGTAAACGTACATAATTTATAAATATATTGTACAAAATGACTGAGGCTAGACGGTGTTTTCTTACGGCTAACGATGGCTAAAACTTTTTAAATATATCAAAACAATGTTCTAGAAAATTGTAGATCTTAAAAAGACCTACAAAAATGTCCGCGATATACTACCATACTATACTTAGTTAATAAACATCTAAGAATCTGAGAAAACTAATTAAAACTTAAAATCAGCGTGAAGTAATATCAAAATAAATGAAGATTTATTTAATTACGTAATAACATTTTCTAAAACAGCTGGGCGTAATTACTGGAATTCATAACGATAATTTCAATCTCATGTCAGTTATCTGACATGATCCACAATAAACAAGCGTTATTAAAATTATTTTCTTTTTAACATTAAAATCACAGTAATGTAATGCATAATATTACCGTGTTAAAATCGTTCATACTTTTCCATATTTTTATATATATATATATATATATATATATATATATATATATATATATATATTCGAATCTATACCTTTAATAAAATTCTTACTGAGTAGAATCAGCCTCATTAAATATTTTTTGGAAAATATTGTAATTTACGCTTGCTTATTATAATAATCATTATTTTCAATACAGAGGCCGAATCTATAGTTTTTAGAATTTTTGTCTGTCTGTCTTTGTTGTCAGTTTTTGATGAAATTTGGTATGGTGATAGCATGTTATCTTTACTTTTTACTGCGGGAAAATATCTCATCTCCTAAGTAGGTACAAACACAAGCGGAGCGAGGGTAAGTCGCTAGTATAATATAATAATATACAGATATCATTAAAAAAATAACGAGTAAATAAAGTATCGAGTTCTCATTAGATATGAAAATGGGGTTTTTTAATGATGCATCATTCACACCTTTATTAACATACTGTGGGGTAATGCCTTCATTACTTTTGTAACTTTTTGTTTATATATTTCGTATGAAGATATATATATATAGAATATATATTATGATATAACTTTTTTTAACTACAAAGCCTTATAAATAACTATAAAATATTTAAAATTATATGCGCCTAGACAGGCCACAGGTGTTTAACTTTACTCTTAACCTACTTCCCGGAGGCTAAGCACTAAAAAGTTAGTAAGTATCCCTTGAGTTATATAACAATTAAGCTGACCGGGATAAAACGCTAAATTTATAGTACAACGAAGATTTTTCTACAATATTTATTTTAATAAATAACTTATAAAATAGACAGAAAAACTGAATAATATTTTTTCGATATAACTGCAAAAACGTCTACTAATAACAAGGAGATCATAGATTTAAAAAATTTTTTTTTTTTAAATTTAATAATTTATTTATTAATAATATTGTATTAAAACACTTGAACACAAACAAAATATATTCCTATAATTCAATAATATTCCTTTACATTATTTTATTAGGAATTATTATATAAAAAAACATATTTTCGTTTTCAATCTCATTGTGAGTGAACTTGTATATAAAAACAAAGATCGTTTCAACTATTCGGTTTTCTCAAACAATATTATGTTAATGTTCCTGAACGTAGCGTGGGATCCAAATTGAGATAAAGTCTTTTCATAAAATCGTTGAACTTTATTGGTTTATTTTCATTTCAAAATTTTGTACTAGCTAGAATTTGCAATGTTTTTATACTTAGTCTATTTTCGGTTTATATATTTTAAATATTGTGTACTAAATAATAATCTGTCTCTCTCTCTCTCTCTCTCTCTCTCTCTCTCTCTCTCTATATATATATATATATATATATATATATATATATATATATCTATCTGATCTATATCTCTGTACGATGAAAATATTCGCTCTGTACTACTCAGCAACAATAAGCAAATCAAGTTAGATCTAACATTAATATTTATGATAGTTATCATCTTATATGAAAAAAATATAGTCAAAGTCTAAGAATAATATATTTGCAATCTCTTGGCAGGGGAGTAGGTCATGAATAAAATATATATAAATTTTACGTTTCATTATGTTATATGTATGTAAATGCATGTTTAAATCGATTTGCTTTTGTACTAACGATCTTAATTATTTAAACACTAGCGACTCACCCTCGCTTCGCTTGGGTTCGTCCCTAGGTTGATTCCCCAAACTAACTTTCATCCCCATTTTCACACCCTTAAGGGATGATTTCCGGGATAAAAAGTATTCTATGTCCTTTTCATCGGTTCAGTAGATCTAGAGATTACCCCCTACAACGTCACAAACTTACAAACTTTACCTCTATATAATATTAGTATAGACAAATATTATAATTCACTATATTGGTTTGTTTGAGAATTTACGTCTAAAGCTAAAACCAGAAAACAAATGAAGTCAAACAAATTATGTTTCTTAATTATAATAATAAAGATTAAAAGAAATAACTATAAAATTATGTTATAATTGTGTAAGAGCATAAGGAAGAGCAGAAGTATGTATTAAAGAAAACTTGAAAACGGTATTACATATCCAGTGACTCAACGTTAGTAATATCTAACTTTTATTGCCATTTATCTTGAAAACTCAACAACTACTATACAAAATTTCGAGATTCTTGCGTTGAATTGCATGAAATGTTAGTTGAACAAAGAGAAGTTTTGCATGCGTTATACGAAAGTGGCTATACGGCGTGGCTTCCAATAATTCTTCATTTCGCTATCCTCCAAATATGCGACAGACGAATTAGTCTACCATATTTCTGTGCAATAAATTATAAAAGCAATGTCTTTGGGGATCGAGTCGCGCGTTATGGCATCGTAAATAACATAGTCTCTGGTCGCAGCAATATTCCAGAAAGGACTCTACATAATACAGCCACTTCTCATAAGAGCACTATGTGTTAAAGTGAATTTATATAGTGAAGTAGGCACAATATTAATATGTTATTGTAAAGTTCTATCTCTAAAGAGCTTATTCCGGTTAGCTATCATAGAAAAACCACCCTAAGGTATTATATACCTACTCGGAAACGTGTCCGAGTATTCACCCTGGACGGGGTGGAGTAACGGAATACAATTCTGATTTTTCATCAGAATATATTTATATACATAATATAAATTACTAATATATTAGCCGTGGAAATAAGATGTTTTTGTACAAACTCTTATATTTTTTACCAAGACTAACAAATAATAATATGTCCCATTAAAAATGACACGTATGGTGAAAGCCCATTGTGAAATCGTGTGCCCAAAAGCTATTTGAAAGACGCGATAATCGTTTTCAGGGTTGCATGCTTTCAAAAGAAAAAAACTAAAAGCTTATAGGATTAGGTATATGAGTTATCCGTATTTTCAACATGTCTATCTGTCACATTCTGTTTTTTCCGAAATTACTGGATTTAATAAGTTGAATTTGGTTGGGACATAATACATATGTAGAGTTAGGTGTAAGCAATACCTTTGATATCGTTTCCACTTCAAAAGTAAGTGTAGCGTTAAGAATAAGAGAAGGTCAAGAGGACGTCCATAAATATGTATCATATAACCGTTTGACTGTATAATTTATATAGTCGAGAAAGAAAACCGAAAGAAAAATAACATTTTGACGACACGTTTGGCTCAGTTTGTAGTAACCCTACTTGCTGTGCCAGCTGTCGTGGGTTCGAGTCCCGCTGGGGGTATTTACTTGTGTGATGAGCATGAATGTTTGTATTCCAGTCATGGGTGTTTATATTTATAATATATTTAAAGTTATATATGTGTAGGGTGTAAGTAGTGTATAAGTATTTAAAGTTATATATGTGTAGTGTATCAACTATCTGATATCCATAACACAAGCTTCGTAGCTTACCATGGAACTAGATGGTGCTGTGTATTAATGTCCCAACATATTTATATTTATTTATATTTAAAACAGGCCGTAACACGACGTTCTCGCCAGTCGACATCTGCGCAATGGTCCCGCTCGTTTCGAGGCAGTGCGAGCAGTCCCCACGACGAAGCAGATGCCGACGAAGTTTTCTTCACCCCTCAAGCTTTGCCATCACCATTGAATCAGCAACATCATGACGAAGGAGACACTCTTGATGGAAGCAAAGGGTATGTACTATAGTGTAGAATTATAGTAAAAATATATATCTACAATATATGGCATATCGTCATTTTGTAAAACCATATAAAAGTATTATTTTTATATTTAAATTTATTTGTTGTTATTGTTATATCAATGACTTTAAGTACATCTGAAAAGATGCACTTATAAATTCATATAAATCACAATTTTATATGCAATTTATTTCTTTCGTTATAGCTTTTAGACCTTCCAATTAACTATATTCATACAATACGAAACAATAGTGGAAAGTGAAGGAGAAAAAGTTTCTGCTCATGAAAATTATTAAAATAATAGCAATAAATGATTATAGCCATTGTTTGCTCATCATTCAATAACTGAAAGCTTATATAAGCTTTATAAAACGTGTGTGTGCAGTTTTTAATGGCTTTGTACTTTAAAAAAATCTATCTTCATATATAATTACTTAAATAATACATATTCGTATATAATTACTTAAATATTAGGTATATATTCATTTAAAAGACAACCATAAAAATAAAATAAATAGCAATACTCTTAAATGGAATACGTACGTATAATAAGAGAGGGAAATTTTGGACTCAGTGATGAATTAATTGAATTAAGTAATAAAATATTAAAATATAAAAAAATAAATAAACATTAATTGAATTGAATTTATTTTAATATTTAACCTCTTTTTAAACTAAATAGGTAAATTATCGAAAGCAACAGAATATCCCAAAATATCGATTTGTTATTTGATACCAATTTCGTTTTATTAATTAATTAACAGAACTAAGAAAATTAATCAAATGTTGATTCATTTGTAAGATTTCATTAATTTCTGAATTGTTATTGTGTGCTTATTTTCGTGTTGTTATTTGATATAACCTTGGTTTTTATTTTAAAGCTTTTGCTTACGGACATTGTATTGTATTTAGAAAGATGACAAGTTGTACTTGTCAAACTCCATTAATGGTATTTTGATTGGGTAATGTACCAAGGAAATATTTGTTGCCATTCCAATAAATGTAATAGAAATCATCACGTAGTACATATGTATTATATATTTTTAATAATTTACTTAAAATGTTTATGTTATATATTTAATTTGTCTGGCATCATAGATTAAATAACTATACATATATTATTACCTAATTTATTAATTTATAATATTCTATTTTTTACCTGAAATAGATCTTAACGCTTAAACAGTGTTTTTTGGGCTGAATTGAGTTTTTTAAGAAAATATATACATAGATAAACTTAAAACGCAAAACCGTATCTAAATGCATTTTGATCTATTTCCGAGATACAAAATAATATTATAAGATAAAATAATATTCAATAGGTGAATTCAGCAAAATTATATTTTCAGTTTTACTTATCAGAATTTAAATGACAAAGTTTATTGCCTTCACATCCCTTATTGTTGACGAACTATCGACGAAAAGTGGATAGGTTTATTGGACAGAATTCTTATTAGGCCAACAAAAGATCCGAGGGACTGTTACCTATAAAAATTTTTAATAACGATATTGCTATAATATTTGGCTTGACTGAACATCTCATATTTTATATTGATAAAAGATTATGTACGTGTTTAATTTATATAGTTAGTGAGTGAACAAGTAGCAGTCAGCAATATCTTATAACAAGATTGTCTGCCTCGGTGGTGTAGTGGCTAGCATGTACGGCTGCACACCCGGAGGTCCTGGGTTCGAGTCCCGGGTCGGGCCAAGTTTAGTTATTAAGTCTTCCTGTATAGTAAGTCTCAGTAACAGCCCGGAGTTGGGAAGTTGGCGGTGTTTCACCCCCGTGCCTCGGAGAGCACGTAAAGCCGTCGGTCCTGCGCCTTAACTCTCACCGGTCGTGTCGAGTGCTCGTCCCACCGGAGTATGAGAGTGATAGGAATAGAGAGTGCACGTTGTGTCTGCGCGTACACTTGAGCACTATAATATCTCCTGCGCAGTTGGCTAATCTCATTGAGATTGGCCGCCGTGGCCGGAATCGGCTAGGAGAACATCATCATCATCATAACAAGATTACCACTTGCTAATGTAGTAAAGGAAAACATCGTAAAGAAGCCAACATGTCTGGGAGAACTAGTTTTCAAAGACGTGTAGAGTCTACCGATTCGCATTGCCAGCGTGGTGGATCATGATTAATTAATTGAAGGGAGGCGTAAGTAGTGCAGCGTTATAAAAGGCTGAATTATTTGAATTTATTATTAGAACCTGGGCTACCGAGCTTCGCCCGGAGTTTTTGGCCTAAAAAACATTAAAAAAAAACTAACTAAAAATTTGAATAAATACAAAAAAAAACAAAAGTAAAAACTTTGTATCCGACCAGGATACGAACCCAGACACCTGTGGTTGTCAAACTTGCGCCTTGGCCCCTGGAGCCGTTTTCGAAATTCAGATTATATATATACTCGTATATACAAGAAGAAGAACTAGTTTTCAAAAAGTAGTGCAGCGTTATAAAAGGCTGAATTATTTGTATTTATTATTATTTTAATTGATACCTACCTTGTCGCCGCGCGTCTTTCACTACTTTTTCCGATATCGGTATTGATTCTATATTCCACGAGACCTACTGGTTGAACCGAGATAATAAAATATATACTTATTATATAGTGGCACCATGTAATAATAATGTTTTCCTGACAGATTTAAGAGTGGGCGACCAATCTCGTTGAGATTAGCTATGTGGGTGAGAGATAATGTAGTGCACAAATATGCGCGAAAACACATGTTCACTCTCTTTTCCTTTCAATCTCAAGTTTCGACGCTACTAGCTATCACTGTACTGGAGACAGGTCAGATGCAGGGCCTATAGCTTTACGTGCTGTCCGAAGCATTGTGGTAAAACACCGCCAACTTCCCAACTCCAGTCAGTTACAGAAAATTTATGGATAGAAAAATCCAATGACTATACATGGCCCGTCACGGGAATCGATCCCAGGACCTCCATATCTGCAGCCGTACATGCTAAACCACTAGTCTAACGACCATGATATTTCACACAGCATTTACGAAGCGCGTTTAGGAGTTGAACGAACTCTGTTTTAGTTGCAGTTGACCCTTTAACATTTATACAAATATCTATAGGAGTAAATTTAAATGAAAAGCAAACGAATATCATCAGTTAAAATTAACATAACTAACATCAAGTAGGTATTGCTCATTGTTTAACACATGAAAAGGAAACATTTTCCAATTTATTTCTGTTAAATTTTAACTAACCGTTGTAACAACATACGATACTTTACTATTCGATTAATCAAGTCACTTTAGCCGTGGCAAATCTGGTTGAAGCAAAGTTTTAGTTAATAACGCTCGGCTCTCAAGCCCGCGTCGTATTATAACGTCATATTGCGCTAACTTGACAGATTAATTAAGTTCTAATTATGATTACACACTCTTGCATTCGTACTGAGTGGATAGACTTAAATTGTTTCATTTTAGATTTTAAGCTATATGAAAATATACTATTGTTAGTTATTGCCCGCAGTTCTGGCCGCGAGGTAGGGATGTAGATAAAAAATAGCTATATATAAGCTACTAGCATTGCCCTTGGCTCCGCCCGGGTTGAGATGACCAAAAACCAAATTATTAGATTTTACATAGTATACTCTTACAATGCAGTTTTTGTTTTTTTTAGAAATTAAACATTTTCCCGCGGTAAAAAGTATCCTATATGTTGACCCGGATAGCCAGCTATCACCATACCAAATTTCATCAAAATTTCTCCAGTAGTTTTTCTGTGATGCGGTAACAGATAGACAGACAGACAAAAATTCTAAAAACTATAGATTCGGCCTCGGCATCGATAATAATGTTTATTGCAATTAGATTTTCCAAGAGATATTAAATGTACAGATTTGGCTTAGTTACAATTTTATTATATGTATAGATTTATATTCCGAATTTTTTCTTCAAGTCTTTTAAGGTATTATTGCGTACACTCTCACTGATACGATGAACAAATAATGTAGTGAATAAATATACTTTTGTAATTTTATTCTCTTAAATTTTTGTGATTATACGCTACTTAGGTGTTTAATATAGAAATGAAGAATGGCCAAGAAATATATTTACACATCACAAAAAGGATATTTTTTGGAACTTTTTAAGTGCCAATTATACAGTAGGAATGGTTCCGTGTTAGTAAAAATTGTCATGACAAAAACACCATCCGCGTAGTGAAATGATTTTGTAATATAATATAAAAGGTCTCGCGTAGAATAAGAATATTTTAAAAGATGAGATAAAATTGTTATCTTATTTAAAAGGTATAATATTGATTGACTATAATAGTAGGTAGACTAAATGTATTAATGCTTAATTTTAGACCACGGAGCTAATTCGAAAATTAAATTGAATTAAAATTGTAACGAAGCCGAATCTGTACATTAAATATTTTTTTGGAAAAACTTATTTACATATCAAATAGACATTATTGTCGATACAGAGGCCGAATCTATAGTTTTTAGAATTTTTGTCTGTCTGTCTGTCTATCTGTCTGCCTGTCTGTATGTGACCGCATCATGGAGAAACCACTGGAGGGATTTTGAAATCAGCCAAAATACTTAACGATTTTACCGCTTATGTAGTTTCTATGAAGTATGTATATTTAATGACTGGGAATTTCCTCTACTTCGCTAACAACTTACGTTTATTTCCTATGTACATTAATTGAAAACCTTTATATGCTTTTTTTTATAGCTTATTTAAACCAACAGGACTCCTTTTATTCAATTTAAACTTAAGAATTTCGCATATTTTGAATTGAAAGCTCAAACTATTTATAATCCATTAAACAATTACCAATCACTCATTCATAGTTTTAATTCCACGGTAAAACTGCTAAACAAAATTACCGCTCGAACTCATTCGTGTATTCTTCACAATACGTGACACTGGCAGATTGTATTGCGTCTGTTAACGCAACTCTAAGCCACTAAAGAAGAAAAAGCATACTCAAGGCATACTCGTACTTAAACACAAACCTGTAAGTG